CACCACCACCACCCACCACCACTACGACTACGACCAGCAGCGCCACCACCGCCAGCACGGCGACCAGCACCACCACCACCACCACGACGGCAACCAGGGGCAGCACGGCGACCAGCAGCACCACGACAACCGCTACCACAACGGCGATCATAAGCAGCAGCAGCCGCGGCTCTACCACCACCACGCCTACAACCAGCAGGGCCACACCCACCAGCACGGCGACCAGCAACACCACCACCACGATGGCGACCAGGGGCAGCACGGCGACCAGCAGCACCACGACAACCAAGACCACTACGGCGACAACAAGCAGCAGCAGCAGCAGCAGCAGCAGCAGCAGCAGCAGCAGCAGCAGCAGCAACAGCAGCAGCAGCAGCAGCACCACCACCACCACCACCACAACCACTACGACTACGACCAGCAGCGCCACCACCACATGCACGGCGACCAGCACCACCACCACCACCACGACGGCGACCAGGGGCAGCAGAGCGACCAGCAGAACCACGACAACTACTACCACAACTGCGACAACAAGCAGCAGCAGCAGCAGCAGCAGCAGCAGCAGCAGCGGCAGCTGCCTAACCACCACCGCAACCACCACGACTACGACCAGCAGCGCCACACCCACCAGCACGGCGACCAGCAGCACCACCACCACCACCACCACCACCACCACCACGGCGACCAGGAGCAGCACGGCGACCAGCAGCACCACGACCACCACTACCACAACTGCGACAACAAGCAGCAGCAGCAGCAGCAGCAGCACCACCACCACCACAACGACAACGACAACGACTAAAACCAGCTGCGCTTCCGCCACCAGCGCGGCGACCAGCACCACCACCACGACAGCGACCAACAGCGCCACCACCACGACGGCAGCCGGCAGCACCACCATACTGCAAACAGCACCACAACCACCACCACCACCACAACTACGAACAGCACCACCACCAGCACGACGACGACCACGACGACCAGGAGGAGGAGAAGGACACCCACGACCAGCACCGGCACAACCAGCACCACCACGGCGACCAGCACCACGGCGACCAGCACCACGGCGACCAGCACCACGACTACGCACCACCACGGCGACCAGCACCACCACGCCCAGCACCACCACGACCAGGAGGACCACCACGACCAGCACCACCGCGGCGACCACCATCACGACGCGTGCGTCCACGGCCAGGAGGACCACCACGACCATCACCACGACCAGGGCCAGCACGACCACGGCCAGCACGACCAGCACCACCACCACCACCACGACCAGCACGACCACGGCCAGAGGACCACCACGACCACCACCACCACCACCAGGACCACCACGACCACGGCCAGCACCACCACAGCGACCAGCAACACCACAGCGACCAGCACCACCACGACCAGCACCACCACGGCCAGGAGGACCACCACGACCAGTACCACCACGGCGACCAGCACCACCACGGCGCCCAGCACCACTACGACCAGCACCACCACGGCGACCAGCGCCACCACGACCAGGGGCAGCACGGCGACCAGCAGCACCACGAGAGCAGCCAGCAGCACAGAGGACCACCACGACCACCACCACCACCACCACCAAGACCAGCATCACCACGACCATGGCCAGCAACACCACGGAGACCAGCGCCACCACGGCGACCAGCACCACCACGACCAGCACCACCACGACCAGGAGGACCACCACGACCAGCACCACCACGGCGACCAGCACCACCACAGCGACCAGCACCACCACGACCAGCACCGTGACAGCGACCAGCACCGTGACAGCGACCAGCACCACCACGACCAGCGCGACCGCGGCCAGGAGGACCACCACGACCAGCACCACCACGGCGACCAGCACCAACACGGCGACCAGCACCACCACGGCGACCAGCACCGCGACTACGCACCACCACGGCGACCAGCTTCACCACGACCAGCACCACCACGACCTGCAGGACCACCACGCCCAGCACCAACACGGCGACGACCAGCACGACCAGCGCGACCGCGGCCAGGAGGCCCACCACGACCACCACCACGACCAGCACCACAACGACCACGACCAGCACGACCACGGCCAGCAAGACAAGCACCACCACCACCACGACCAGCACGACCACGGCCAGAGGACCACCACGACCACCACCACCACCACCACCAGCACCACCATGACCACAGCCAGCACCACCACGGCGACCAGCACCACCACGGCGACCAGCACCACCACCACCAGCACCACCACGATTAGGAGGACCACCACGGCGACCAGCACCACCACGGCGCCCAGCACCACCACGGCGACCAGCACCACTACCACCAGCACCACAACGACCAGGGGGGCTACCACGACCAGCACCACCACGGCGACCAGCACCACCACGACCAGCACCACCACGGCGACCAGCACCACCACGACTACGCACCAACAGGGCGACCAGCACCACCACCAGCACCACCACGACCAGGAGGACCACCACGACCAGCACCACGACCATCACCACCACGGCGACCACCACCACGACGCGTGCGTTCACAGCCAGGAGGACCACCACGAACACCGCGACCGGCACCACCACGACCACGGCCAGCACGACCACGGCCAGCAGGACCGGCACCACCACCACCACCACGACCAGCACGACCACGGCCAGAGGACCACCACGACCACCACCACCACCACCAGGACCACCACGACCACGGCCAGCACCACCACAGCGACCAGCAACACCACAGCGACCAGCACCACCACGACCAGCACCACCACGGCCAGGAGGACCACCACGACCAGTACCACCACGGCGACCAGCACCACCACGGCGCCCAGCACCACTACGACCAGCACCACCACGGCGACCAGCGCCACCACGACCAGGGGCAGCACGGCGACCAGCAGCACCACGAGAGCAGCCAGCAGCACAGAGGACGAGGAGGAGGCGGCAGCGGCTTGGGCTGAGGAGGAAACGCCGGCGCCGGCCCAAGGCAGGGCGGCGGCACAGAGAGCGAACGCAGCGCCGCCGGCGCCGCCCCGAGGACAGGCGCGAGCGCTGCCGAGGGAGGCGGCGGCGGCGGCGGCCAGCGGCGGCAGACCCGGCGGCGCGGCGCAGGCCGGACACGGCCGGCGGCGAGGCGCAGCGCCGCCGAAGGTTCGTTTAAGGGCAGAGGGAAGAGGATCCAGCCCTCCAACGCCACAACCCTCTGCCCAGCGACCTGCGGCGGCGGGCGCGGCGGCCAGTGGCGGCAGGCCCGACGGCGAGGCGCGGCGGCCGGCGGCCGGCGGCTGCCGGCAGGCGGCGACGGGCCGGCGGCGCGGCGCCACGACGAGCGGCCGGCCGGCGACTGGCGGCGACGGGCCGAGCGCCGCGGCGCAGGGCGCAGGCTGGTGGCGGCGGCGGCGGCTGGCGGCGGCGGATGGCCAAACCCGCCTGGGCGCTCCCAGGGCGCCGCGGGGGCCAGCGACAGCTGAGCGGGCGGCCCCGGCCAGCGCCAACCGACCAGATCGCCGAAACCGTGCAGGCCTGTGCGCGCTGCTTCTTTAGGTCGAAGGGAAAATCATCGCGCACGCGGTCCGTCATGTCAGTCTGCCACGCCTCGAACCGATCCCCCACGTCGAAGGGGTGCCCATCCACCGGGTTGGCTAACGCAAATTCGACTGGGTTGCGCGACCGAAAAAATCCAGAAGAAACCGCTCGGCCAATCCAGCGGGGACGATGCGGAGGTCGGAAGAGCGCTGAAACTCCTGGTGGCGCTCGGCCCGCGCGGCTTGCGCAACAGCTCTTTGGAGAGCAGCTTGCGATTCACACGCGCCAGGAGAAAGCCGAGGCCTACTCGAGCGCACGGGGGCTGCCGTGGACGCCTGAGCCGCCCCCGCCCCCGCCGCCTGGCTCAAGGCATGTTTTTAGGGCAGGCCCGGCTTTCCGTCTGAGACTCGGACCCGGGGGAGGGGGTCGGGCCCTGGCCGCGCGCGATGGCACCCTCGCCTGGGCCAGCTTGCGCGCCTGCCGACTTGCCGCGTCGCCGCTCGGGGGGAGCCGCGGCGGCGCGGCGAGAGGGGAGGCGACGCGCACGCAAGGCGAGCACAGGAGCAGCGCCTCAGGGGGAGGCACGCGAGGCGGCACCGCAAAGGAAGGAGGGAGGCAGAGGAGGCGGCGGGGGCACCCGCACAGGCGGACCCCGCCAGGAGAGGGGAGGAAGAGGAGAAGGCGGGAGCAACCGCACAGGCGGACCCCGCCAGGAGAGGAGCGGCACTGCGGAGCTCCCGCCTGACCCCGGCCCTCCACCAGGCCTGTGGGAGGTAGTGGGCGGGCGTCGCTGCACTTCGGAGGCCCACGCGAGGAAGAGCAGCCAGCTCAGGCAGGGGCCCACTTTGATCAGGGGTGACTCGTTCGGGCCCCTCCTTTTCGGCGGGCCGCCGAAGCAGAGGCAGAGGAAGAGCAGGACCAGCAACACCAAGGACAACACACGCACACCAAGCGGCATCGCAACGACCACAACCACGACAACTGGAAACAGCATCGAGACCACGACGCGCAGGGTGTCACGCGTACAGGGTGCAGCCACGGCCTTCGCCAAGAGGGGCCACTCGAGGCAAGGGAAGCTGGGCAGGCGCCGTGCCGGGCAGCTTTCACTCGCAAAGGCTTTCGACGGGCTCGCCGACGAGCCGCGAGACAAGACCTAGAGGACGCGATCGCCGAGCACATCGCGATCATGAAGCAGGCGACGGCCTTTCACCGCCGGCGCGCGTTTTGGACAGAGAGGTTTGGCAGAAGGTTTGTCGCCACCCGACGAGCGCAAGAAGCGGCCAAGGGTCAGGCGCCGCGCGACGAGGACCAGCTGCCGCAGCAACGCCCCGACCAGAGCAACTTGTCTCTGCACCCTGGGCGGCCGCGCTACGGTCAGGCCCCGCGCCGACCGCACAAGAAAACCGAGGCTGACAAGGAGATGGCGCGGGCGGGGCTGCTCGGGGGGCACGCCTGCTTTGGCCCGGCGCCACGCGCACCACCGCAAGCGCACCCACCAGCACCATAACGAGCAACAAAAAACCTCACAACAAGCACCACCACAAGCACCGCGCCAAGCACACCACCTCAAGCGCACCCACCACCACAACAAGCACCCACCACCACAGCTAGCGCCCTGGAGGGGGGTGGGTACTCCCAGCTCCGGCGCCCGCACCGGCGACAGGACGCTGACCGAGAGATGGCGCGGGCGGGTGTCGGCGAAGTCGCGCCGCTCATAACCAGAGCGCACATCCGCCACGGGCGCCCCGAGAGCAGGCAGCACCGCAGCGACAAGAGCGACGGCAGCCAGCACCAAGAGCAGCAGCACAACGACTACGACCAGCAGCACCACCACGACGACAAGCATCGACAGCAGCAGCACCACCACCACGACAACCAGCACCAGCGGCAGCAACGCCACCGCGACGAGCGGTTGCAGCACCGCGACGACCAGCAGCAGCAGCAGCACCACCACCACCACGACCACCAGCACCAGCAGCAGCACCGCAACCACCACGACGACCAGCACCAGCAGCAGCACCGCAACCACCACGACGACACCCTGCACCACCACCGCCACCACCACGAGGACAACCGGCACCAGCGGCAACACCGTCACCACGACCGGCTGCAGCAGCACCACCGCGACGACCAGCAGCAGCAGCAGCAGCAGCAGCAGCAGCAGCAGCAGCAGCAGCAGCACAACCACCACGACGACCACCAGCAGCAGCAGCAGCAGCAGCAGCAGCAGCAGCAGCACCGCAACCACCACGATGACACCCTGCACCACCACCGCCACCACCGCGACCACGGACGGCAGCCAATCACAGCAGCAGCAGCAGCAGCAGCAGCAGCAGCAGCAGCAGCAGCGGCAGCAACGGCAGCAGCAGGCACCGCGGCAGCGGCCAGGACGACAGCAGCCAGCAGGGCCCTCCGCCACCCCAGACGGCCATTCCAGCCGTCTGGCCGCCAGCCCTCCAGCCCCTTCCGAGGGAGGGGGCTGGCGTCAGCTGCAGCCCGTGCCCCCCAGGGGAAGAGCCCCATTCCCACGGTAGGACTCCCCTGGGGCCAGTTCCCCATCGGGGTTCGCGCGGCTCCGCTGCGGTCCCCGGTGGCGCCCTGGCTTGTGCAGCAAGCCCACAGGAGCAACGCGACAACATGTTCGACCATAAGAGGCGGTACGACTCCCAACAGTGGCGCCGCGAGCAGCAGCACAACGACGACGACAAGCAGCAACATCAGCAGCAACACCACCACGACAACCATCACCAGCGGCAGCGTCGCCACCGGGACCAGCTGCAGCGGCACCACCACGACGACCAGCAGCAGCAGCACCACCACCACCACCACCACCACCGCCACCACGACCAGCAGCAGCAGCAGCAGCAGCAGCAGCAGCAGCAGCAGCAGCAGCATGGCAACCACCACAACGACCAGCACCACAGCGACCAACACAAACGACCAGCAACACAGTATGCACCAAACGACCAGCGCCACAGCACGCACCCAACGACCAGCACCACTGCACCACAACACGCAGCCAACGACTGCGGACGGCAGCCCCCTGGCAGCAGCAGCAGCAGCAGCAGAAGCAGCAGAAGCGGCAGCCAGCAGGGCCCTCCGCCACCCCAGACGGCCATTCCAGCCGTCTGGCCGCCAGCCCTCCAGCCCCTTCCGAGGGAGGGGGCTGGCGTCAGCTGCAGCCCGTGCCCCCCAGGGGAAGAGCCCCATTCCCACGGTAGGACTCCCCTGGGGCCAGTTCCCCATCGGGGTTCGCGCGGCTCCGCTGCGGTCCCCGGTGGCGCCCCGGCTTGTGCAGCAAGCCCACGGGAGCAACGCGACAGCCACGGGCGCCGCGAGAGCAGGCAGCACCGCAGCGACCAGAGCGACAGCAGCCAGCACCCAACTGCGGCCACAGGCGGAGGAAAACTACGACGGCGACCAAGACAGCAACGAGCAGCACCACGACGGCGACCAGCAGCACCAGCAGCACCGCCACAGCCACGACGGCGCAAAACAACGGCAGCAGCACCACCGCCACGACAGCCACCAGCAGCACCACCGGCACCACGAGCACCACCCAGCGCTGCACTGACCCAGACTCCCGGATTGACTTGGAGATCTCAGGAAGAACATATTCTTGGAGGGACTCTGAAGTCTCAGGGGGAGGTTAAGGGAGGAGCGCGCGAGGGCAGGCAGTCCCGTGGCGACCAGAGCGACGGCAGCCAGCACACAGCCACGGCAGCAGGCGGCGGCTCCCAAAGACCGCGCACACGACGAGAGCGACCACCACGACAGCGACCAGCAGCAACACCAACGCCACCGCCACGACAGCGCCCAACAGCAACACCACGACAGCGACCGGCAGCGCCGCCACCAGCACCAGCACCAGCAGTGACACTGGCAGCACCACCTGTACCACGACAGGAGCTGCGCACACCAGGGAGGGACCAGCGAGACGCGCTGTACGGCTACCGCGGACAGCGCGTGGGTGAGGCGAGCCACCCAGGGCCACCGCACAACGACGCTGCCCCAGCCACGCCGCCGCGCGGACGCTCGCAAGCGGACCTGCCCGAGCCAGCGGGCGAGGTTTCGGGCGAATCCGCGCCCCGGCCGGCGGAAGCCGAGACTCCCCCTCGAGAGCTCTTCGGTTCGCCGGGCCGGTCTCTGTCGCCGCTGCCTGCCGGACAGAGCCACTTCAGCGCCGTGTTCGGACAGGCGCCTGCGGCCGAATGGGACTTCTCTGGGATGTTCGCGCCGCCGCGGGAGACAGCCGAACGCGCGGCGGCGGAGGAGCAGCAACAGCCGCAGCAACCACAGCAAGGGCCGGAGTTCCAGGAGCCGGAGCAGCCAGAAGCCAGCGAGGTTTGCTACATGTGCCAGGAGCCGCTCGACGACTCGAGGGTGCAATGGCCCGACTGCGGCCACGTCCCGCACTGCTTCCACGCAGCCTGCCTGGCCCGGTTTCGCCCTCTCCGCCGCGGACTCGCACACCTGCGGAACTCGGGCGGCGATTCCAGCCGGGTAGAGGACGCAGCGTGCCCGCTCTGCAACCACAGGTGGGGCGACGACCCGAACTCTGCCGCGCGGCTCGCGGAGCTGGCGGGCCACCTTGGGCGCGGCGGGGGACTACCTTTCCGAGGGTGCCGCTGCCTGCCTTGCCGGGGAGTTGCAGGCGACCCGAGTTCCGACGAGGAGCGGGCCAGCCGGCACCGAGGGGGGCCCCTCGTGCTGCCGGAGGGGCCGGCACCGCACGCGATCGCCATGTGCCCGCGCCACCCGGAGCGACCCATGCGATGGCGGCACTCGCGCGGGCCAGATGGGCTGACGGGCAGCTGGGAATGCGCCGCCTGCGATGTCGCCCCGCTCGGTAGCGAGGTCCCGCCGCCGCTGGGCGAGAGGCCGCCGCAGTGCCCTTGCGGCCAGCCAGGGCAGGTCGAGTGGGTCGCCCGGGCCAGCGGGGACGCCGGAGGGCCTTGGAGGTGGCAGGGAAACTGGCTCTGCGAAAGCTGCGCCGCCACAGCGCTGCCCGAGCCAGAGGCCGCACAGCCGGAACGGCCGCCAGAGACAGGAGCAGGAGGCGGGAGCCCGGACCCACCGGCGGCGGACGGCCCACGAACCCAGTTCAGCGGCTGGTCGCCTCCACGACACGCTGCAGAGACCAGCCGCTACCTTAACTCCTGGATGTACGTGCCGCTCCTCCTGGACGCCGGGCCAGCTTGACATGCAGGAAGCCGCCGCGCGGCGACAGCACCCTGCTGCAGCACACTGGTGGGAGAACGCCGCGGCGTTCCTCCGAGAGAGGCCGCGCGCCGACGTGTCCGCCTTCCGCGCGGCGGGCCCCCTGCTGCCGCAGGCTCTCGGAGACGGGCTGCACGGGGACCAACTGGGGCTGCCAGCGGTGGTAGGGCTCCTTGCCGACGACAGAGGATACGTGCAGCCGATCGCCCAGGACATCGTGATGCAGATCTTCGGGGGGGTGGACTTCATCCGCGCTGTGGAGGTGCAGGCTGACGCCTACAGGGCATGGCTTGCGCGCGGGCTGCCTCCAAGACCCGCCCCGGCAGCAGGGCCTGGAGCACCGGGCCCGCCAGACGCGCGCGGAAGAGGCGCCGAGGAGGAGCCGCAGGCGGAGGGAGAGGGAGGCGCCGCACCAGGCAGAGGAGGGAGAGGCGCAAGAGGAGGCAGAGGACGAAGAGGCGCTGGAGGAGGCAGAGGGGGCAGAGGCGCCCGAGGAGGCAGAGGGCGAGCAGGCGGCAGAGGAGACCTGAGCAGCGACGACGACGACGACGAGAGCAGCGAGGAAGAGGGCAGCCACAGCCAGAGCGACAGCGCCTCCGACAGCGCTGGCCCCGCGCTGCCTGCGCCAGCGCCGCCGCCTGCGCCAGCGCCGCCGCCTGCGCCAGCGCCGCCGCGCAGTGGCGGAGGCCGGCGACGAAACCGGCGCCCGGCGCAGTCTGCCTTCCCCGACGCCGCCTGGGTGCTTCTTGACGCAGTGGACTTGGAGGCCGAACTGCGCCGGCGGGTGCCGTGCATCCGGGCGCCGCCGGCTTTCCTCCGCGGCCGCCTTCGCCAACTCTACCACACGGTCCTCGAGGAGGTCCTACGCGCAGACGCCCTTCCTGGCGACGCCGACGGGCTGCAGAAGGTGAGGGCGTGGAAGCTCCTGGTTCTCATCTGGCGCATGCTGCTGCGACGGACCGCGAGCACTGGAGCGCCAGGGCGGCGAGAGCTCGAAGCGCGACTGGAGCAGTTCGAGGACGCCTCCTGGGAAGCGCTGCTGGCCCCAAGCCTGCAAGGGCAGCGGCCTCCGGGAGGAGCGCGCGGCGCGGGCGACGCCGAGGCGAGGCGATGCGAGGCGCCAGCGCCTCCTGGAAGACGCGGTGGCGCTGGTCAGAGCAGGGGGCCTCAGCAAGGCGCGGCAGCTGCTCGCCTCGCGCGGGCTGGCGCCGGGCACGGCGGAGACTTTGGCAGAACTGCGAGACCCCGCCCGGCGACCGCCGAGGCCCGCCGCCGACTTGCCGCCTGCCGCCCGAGCCTTCCAGCCGGCTCGACCCGTCGAGCTCGACCGCCGCATCTGGACCGACTGCGTCCGCTCCGCCCCGAAAGGGTCTTCCAGCTCGCTGAGCGGAGCCAGCGTTGAATTGCTCAAGCTGGCCTTGGACGAAGACGAGACGCTCGAGCTGCAAGCTGCCGTGGCGGAGCGCTACGCGCGGGCCGAGATCCCAGCGAGCGTTGCCCGCGCCCTGGGCACAGGCCGCATGACGGCGCTGCTGAAGGACAACGGCCGCGCGCGAGGCATTGTTGCAGGCGACGACTTCCGCCGGCTCGTGGGCAAGGCCCTCTCCCGGCAGTATGGGTCCGAGATGGACGACGCCTGCGCGCCGTTCCAGCACGCGCTTTCGACGAGAGCGGGCACAGACAGCGCCGCCCACTTCCTCCGAGCGGCCACGGACTCCGACCCCGCGGCGACCATCGTCAGCATCGACGGCATTGGGGCCTTCGACCACGTGCGCCGCGACCGCATGATCGAGAAGCTCCTCTCGCTGCCGGAGGCTTCTGCCATGGTCCCATTCGTCCTGCTCTCCTACGGCCAGCCGTCGACGTACCTCTGGACAGACGATGCAGGAGTCGCGCACGAGGTGAGGCAGGGAGAAGGCGGAGAGCAAGGCGACCCGCTCATGCCGGCGCTGTACTCCCTGGCTCAGCATGGCGCCCTGGAGAGAGCCCGCGCGCAGCTTCAGCCGGGCGAGACGCTGATCGCCTACTTGGACGACGTCTACATTGTATGCAGACCAGAGCGCGCCACAGAGGCTTTCCGCGTGGTTACCGCCGCCATGCGCGAGTGGGCAGGGATCGAGGCGAACCTCGGCAAGTGCCGCATGTGGAACCGGGGCGGCTTCGAACCAGCAGGGCATTCGTCGTTGGGCACAGACGTGTGGGTTGGCGGCGCCGGCACGCCTGAGGAGCACCGCGGCCTCAAGGTACTTGGCACGCCCCTGGGCACCGCGGCGTTCGCGGCCCGGCTGACGCAGCAGAGGACGGACGAGGAGCGCAGCTTCCTACAAGAACTCCCCAACCTGCCAGACCTTCAGTGCGCTTGGGCGCTCCTGCTGTACTGCGCGGTGCCGAGGTGCAACCACGTCCTGCGCACGCTGCCTCCGACGCTGTCGCGGTCCTACGCCGAGGCCCACGACCGCGGGCTGCAGGAGGCGCTGCACGACCTCCTCGACCTCGACCCCGCGCCAGCTGAAGCAGAGAGGCTCTCCCGAGTGAGCTCGCTGCCGCTCGGCCTCGGAGGCCTTGGACTCAGGTCAGCCGCGCGCACGGCCGAGTGCGCGTACTGGGCGTCTTGGGCGGACGCGCTCCCCATGTTGCGACAAAGAAACCCTACAGCAGCAACGGAGCTCACCGCCACCCTCCTCGCCGGAACAGGCGCCGCAGCCTCGTGCCTCCAGGAAGCTGAGCGCGCGAGGGCTGCCGCCGCCCGCGACGGCTTTGCGACGTGCCCAACTTGGCAGGAGGTCTGGGACGGCGCGCGCCCTGAACAGACAGAGCCAGAGCCGGGCGAGTGGAAGCACGGATGGCAGTACCACGCCTCCGCCGGCCTCCGCAGCCCGAGAGCGGCGCTACAGGGAGGAGGTCGTTCTCCCGAGCCTCACAGACGACCAGCTGTGAATGCTCGACTCGCAGGGAGGCCGCTGCGGCGGACGGCACCTGGCCCTGATCCCCTCGACGCCAGAAAGCACGTTCACGCCAGAGCGCTTCCGGGCACTGCTCCAGAGACGGCTCCGCTTGCCGCTGGACGCCACGGCAAGCAGGTGCAACGGGCGCTCCTGCCAGGCCCACTTGGACGAGAGAGGCGACCACAGAGCAGCTTGCCCCCGCAGCGGACGCCTGCTGAAGCGCGGCGCTCCCATCGAGCGGATGTGGGCCCGCGTGTGCCGGGAGGCAGGAGGCCGTGTCCGCACCGACGTGTTCCTGCGCGACATGAACCTCCCGGGCATTGCCGCCAACGACGGGCGCCGCATCGAGGTGGTGGCCAACGGCCTCCCTGCCTACCACGGCAGGCAGCTCGCCATCGACGCCTGCATCGTATCCCCGCTGAGGGCCACCGGCAGGCCGATTGCGCGGAGGCTCCGCCCAGGACTCGCGCTGAAACGGGCGAGGCGCCGCAAGCAAACGACTTACCCTGAGCTGGTGGGCTCGCGGCGGGGCTACCTGCTCGTAGCCGGAGCAGAGACGGGCGGCCGCTGGGACGAGGAGGCGTACAAGCTCCTCGTCACCCTGGCCCGCGCCCGGGCGAGGAGCGCGCCGGCGGCGCTGCGAGGATCGCTTGCGACCGCGCTGCTGCACAGGTGGAGCGGCATGTTGGCGTACGCCATCCACGACGCCCTGGCCGCGAGCCTGCTCGAGGACGTGCCCTCTGAAACGCTAGCGACAGACGGGGAGAATCCCTGGCGAGGGGACGTTCTGTCGGCGCTCCCCTGAGAGCACCGGCCCCCGCGTGGGGGCGCGCACGGGCAGGGCGGGGCACAGCAGCTCGCAGGAACGCCGACAGCAGAGCTACTGTGAACAGCACCACAACCACCGCCACCACCACTAGCACAACTACGAACAGCACCTCCACCAGCACGACGACGACCACGACGACCAGGAGGAGGAGGAGAAGGACCACCACGACCAGCACCACCACGACCAGCACCACCACGGTGACCAGCACCACGGCGACCAGCCCCACCACGGCGACCTGCACCACGACTACGCGCCACCACAGCGACCAGCACCACCACGCCCAGCACCACCACGACCAGGAGGACCACCACGACCAGCACCAACACGGCAACCACCACCACGACCAGCGCGACTACGGCCAGGAGGACCGCCACGACCACAACCACGACCGCGGCCAGCACGACTGCTGCCAGCACGACCAGCACCACCACCAGCACGACCAGCACGACCACGGCCAGAGGACCACCACGACGACCACCACCACCAAGACCAGCACCACCACGACCACGGCCGGCACCATCACAGCGACCGGCACCACCACGGCGGCCAGCACCACCTCGACCAGCACCACCACGACCAGGAGGACCACCACGGCGACCAGCGCCACCACGGCGACCAGCACCACCACGGCGACCAGCACCACCACGACCAGCACCACCACGGCGACCGGCACCACCACAGCGACCAGCACCACCACGGCCAGCACCACCACGACCAGGAGGACCACCACGACCAGCACCACTACGGCGACCAGCACCACCACGGCGACCAGCACCACGATGACGCACCACCGCAGCGACGAGCACCACCACCAGCACCACCACGACCAGGAGAACCACCACGACCAGCACCACGACCAGCACCACCACGGCGACCACCACCACGACCAGCGCGACCACGGCCAGGAGGACCACCACGACCACCACGACCGCGGCCAGCACGACCACGGCCAGCACGACAACGGCCAGCACGACCAGCACCACCACCACCACGACCAGCACGACCACGGCCAGAGGACCACCACGACGACCACCACTTCCAAGACCAGCACCACCACGACCACGGCCGGCACCACTACAGCGACCGGCACCACCACGGCGGCCAGCACCACCTCGACCGGCACCACCACGACCAGGAGGACCACCGCGGCGACCAACGCCACCGCGGCGACCAGCACCACCACGGCGACCAGCACCACCACGACCAGCACCAACACGGCAACCGGCACCACCACAGCGACCAGCACCACCACGGCCAGCACCACCACGACCAGGAGGACTACCACGACCAGCACCACCACGGCGACCAGCACCACCACGGCGACCAGCACCACCTCCACGACCAGCACCGCGACTACGCACCACCACGGCGACCAGCACCACCACGAGCAGCACCACCACGACCAGGAGGACCACCACGACCAGCACCAACACGGCGACCAGCACCACGACAAGCGCGACCACGGCCAGGAGGAGCACTACGACCACCACCACGACCAGCACCACGGCGACCACGACCACCACGACCACGGCCAGCACGACCAGCACCATCACCACCACGACCAGCACGACCACGGCCAGAGGACCACTATGACCACCACCACCGCGATCAGCACCACCACGCCCACGGCCAGCACCACCACGGCGACCGGCACCACCACGGCGACCAGCACCACCACGACCAGCACCACCACGACCAGGAGGACCACCACGGCGACCAGCACCAACACGGCGACCAGCATCACCACGGCGACCACCACCGCGGCGACCAGCACCACCACGACCAGGAGGGCTACCACGACCAGCACCACCACGGCGACCAGCATCACCACGACCAGCACCACCACGGCGACCAGCACCACGACTACGCACCACCACAGCGACCAGCACCACCACCAGCATCACCACGACCAGGAGAACCACCACGACCAGCACCACGACCAGCACCACCACGGCGACCACCACCACGACCAGCGCGACCACGGCCAGGAGGACCACCACGACCACCACGACCGGCACCACCACGACCACGGCCAGCACGACCACGGCCAGCACGACCAGCACCACCACCACCACGACCAGCACGACCACGGCCAGAGGACCACTACCACTACCACCACGACCAGCACCACCACGCCCACGGCCAGCACCAGACCGGCGATCAGCACCACCACAGCGACCAGCACCACCACGACCAGCCCCACGACCAGGAGGACCACCACGACCAGCACCACCACGGCGACCAGCACCACCACGGCGACCAGCACCTCTACGACCAGCACCACCACGGCGACCAGCACCACCACGACCAGCACCACTACGACCGGCACCACCACGACCAGGAGGACCACCAGGACCAGCACCACCACGGCGACCAGCACCACTACGGCGACCAGCACCACTACGACCCGCACCACCACGGCGACCAGCACCACCACGACCAGGAGGACCACCACGACCAGCACTACCACGGCGACCAGCACCACCACGGCGACCAGCACCACCACGGCGACCAGCACCACCACTGCGACCAGCACCACTACGACCAGGAGGACCACCACGACCAGCACCACTACGGCGACCAGCACCACCACGGCGACCAGCACCACTACGACCAGCACCACCACGGCGACCAGCACCACCAGGACCAGGGGCAGCACGGCGACTAGCAGCACCACGACAGCAGCCAGCAGCGCAGAGGAGGAGGAGGAGGCGGCGGCGGCGGCGGCGGAGGCGACGGAGGAGACACTGGCGCTGGCCCGAGGCAGCGCGGCGGCGCGGAGGGCGAACGCACCGCCGCGAGGCGCAGCGCCGCCGCAGGTTCGTGCACGGGCAGAGGGGGGAGGATTCAGCCTTCCTAAGCCACAACCCTCTGCCCAGCGACCTGCGGCGGCGGGCGCGGCGACCAGCGGCGGCAGGACCGGCGGCGAGGCGCGGCGGCCTGCGGCCGACCTGCGGCAGGCGGCGACGGGCCAGGCGCCGCGGCGAAGCGCGGCGGCCCGCGGCGGCGCGGCCGCGCGGAGGCCGTAAGCTGCGCCGCCAGCGCCGCCCCGAGGGCGGCGGCGGCGGCACCGGCTGGCGGCGGCAGGCCCGGCGGCGCGGCGCTGCGACGAGCGGCTGGCCGGCGACTGGCGGCGACGGGCCGGGCGCCGCGGCACAAGGCGCCGGCTGGCGGCGGCGGCTGGCGGCGGCTGGCCGAGGGCGCCCCGGGCGCTCCTGGGGCGCCGAGGGGCTTGGGGCAGCTGAGCGGGAGGCCCCCGGCGGGGCGGCTAGCTGGCGGGAGGTTCGGGGTTGCCCTGGCTTCGGCCGAAAACCCCCCGCTCCTTCGGGGCGCGCCCCCGCCCCACACTCACCGTGGGCGCGCGGGGGGTCCGCACTGGCCGCAAGGGGACGCGGCAGCCTTGGGGTAAGGAAGGGAGGAAACAAAAAAAAAAAAAAAAAAAAGTCAGCACGTAGATCACGTCGCGCGCCCAAGCGGCCGCGTCCAAGAAAGCTCGGCGCTGCTACTTCGTGCCGCCCCCCCCCCGGCCCGCTCCACGGAGGGCGCAGCCACTCACAGGCAATGAGGAGCTCCACCGCGTCAGCCAGGTACGCCAAGACAGACGCCACGGCGAGCAACGCATCGTCCCACTGGCCATATTTGCGCCACGCCACGCAACACAGCCCGGACAGCTGGGAGGAGCGGAAAACGCACAGGAGCGAACACGAAACTAACAAATGGCCCGAGTCTGCACCACCCGCCTGGGCGACCTTAACAGGAATGAGACACTGGCGCTCGCACGTGCCCGAGTCATGGGTGGTAACTCGCGGGTCGCAGGCCGCAAAACCGGCGGCGGTGATCAGAGCTTCGAGTGTGCGGTCTTGCGCCGACCGGCGTGCTTCCTCGACAATTTCGAACCCTATCCTACGAGGGGGGTGCGTGTTAATATTTGGATGCCACCTACTCCCTCTCCTCCTCCCCCCCTCCTCTCGGACTTACTCTTACTCAGACTTACGCCTGCCCAGACTTCCTCCTACACAGACTCCCTCACACTCAGACATCAGCATACATCAGCATACCCAGTCGTACCCAGTCTTACTCAGACCCTGACGTATGCATACACAAACTCACTCCGACACCAACGTACGTTTTTTTTTTTTTTTTTTCCTCTCCCAGTCCCAGTCCCAGTCCCTGGCCAAGTCCGCAGCGAAAGGGGCCGCTGCACCTGGCTCCCTCCGGCTGGCCCCCTGGCTGGGCTGCCGACGCCCGCGGTCGCCTTAGGCGGCCCGGCGGGCCCGCCGGCCACCGCGCGGTCTTCGCGCCGCCAGCCGCCGCCGCCCGCCGCCCGCCCGGCCGAGCCGCCCTGCGTGCCTCGGCCTCCGGAGGCTTCCGGCGGCGTCCGGAAGCCACGGAAGCGCTCGAGGCCCTGGCCCGGCCGGCTCCCCTCCGTGCCCGGGCAAGGCCGCCCGCGAAGGCCGCCAGAGCTGCCCCAGCCCGGCGGCCCGCGGCCGCAGCGCTCGCCGGCCCTGCCCGCCTGCCGTGCGAGCGCTTGCCTGCCCAATCCCAACCCTGTAACCTACGACGTCGGGTCCCAGCTTCGCGTCCAGCATCGCGCTGAGCAGCACGAATGCCTGTTGCCACTGCCCCCTCTTCTCGCCCGCGCTGATTCCAGCATTGTAGCTGATGACACTTTGCGCCACCTTCGCCTCCCACATCTCGCTGAGCAGCGAGAGAGCCCGCTGCCACTGCTCGCCGTTCGTGCACGCGCGGATCCCAGAGCTGTAGCTTTAGCTGATGACGCTTGGCTCCACCGTCGCCTCCCGCATCTCGCTGAGCAGTGGGAGAGCCTGCTGCCACTGCTTGCCGTTCGTACACGCACTGATCCCAGGGCTGATCCCAGAGTTGTAGCTGATGGCATCTGGCTCCGACCTCACTTCCCACATCTTGCAGACCAGCGATAGATCCCGCTGCCACTGCTCGCCTTTCGTGCACGCGCT